AGTTACAAGAGTATGGCAGAACACTCCTTTGTCAAAATAGAAGACCACAATCTAAAATGCATTTTATATGTTACGCTTCCTTCAATTCAGTCCGCAACTCTTATGCATGAATCGTACAAAATGATTAGGCGACAGTGTGTTAAAAAATTAAGCCCAGATTTTGGGCACTTATTATTTCAACGCATATTGTGATACATATTTTATGTCTGTTTTAAGGTCTGTCATAGCACATCTACAGTGCTTGACACGCCTTTCTGCCTTTTAGTCTAAACAATAGCACTTCGTAAAAGCTATAACAAACCACACGAGAGACATAAAATATACCCATTGATGTAGAGCAATGTGCAAAACTTCCGCGTCAGGCGGGACTAGAACCCGCACCTCACTCTTTTTGGAAATGCGTGCTCTATCCGTTACACCAATGACGCCCATTTTGCACATCACTCTTTCTACGCTTCAGCGCACCAATCTGCCAGCCGCCAGCAGTCAATGGCTTGGCCCGGGTAGCCGATCTCGACATTGAACCCACTCATGCTGACAGATATTGGGTATTAAAGATCAAACTATTATCCCTGCTTAAATGTGTGCAGCAGAAATCTGGTCGCTACGCAAGTAGGACAAAAAATCACTTGACGCAGTAAAAAGGTCGATGCTAAGAGTATTCCGTGTCTCGCAAATGAGAAAAAGGATCCGAAGTTCCGACCTACGTCAACGATCGAAGATCATAGACGCCGTTCTGCACGCCAGGATATCGAAAAAAGGTGGGCCGTACACGTGATGTGCTTCAACGACAGCCGAGAGGCCGTTACCAACCAACTGGATACCTCGGAATATCAAACGCTTTACAGGATGACCACCGACCCGACGGTCCGATTTTTTCACGAAAAGCATAGAAGAAAGATATGATACTCAGCGAATTCCTAAAGCGAGTAGGACCCACTGGGCTACTCTTGCACACGATAGAGAAAAATGGAAGTGTTCCGGTGCCCATTAGAGTCACTCGACGACCAACGAAATAACAGGTGACAGGTGATCGTTCAGAGCGGAATCTATAAAAAAGCGGTCGAATGGGGAGATATGATATAGGATGAAGCTCTTCGCCGGTTGATCAATCGTTGTGGGACATGCTATGCATTCGACTCCCTTTGTAGCATCGTTAGAGGTGATTCATCACATATCTGGCCTTTGTGATGACTGCAGTAGCCTACTAATGTATCAAGTCAGTGCTGCTGCTCTACTGGACAAATCTGGCACAAATTCACCCACTCCAGAGGGGTGGAAGGCTTGATCTCCGTATCGAGCCATCGATCACATGTGTGGCGCAGGGCTCCTCTAACTAGTGCTTCACTTGCGCTTTCACAACTTACAGCGAAGGAGTTAAGACTCCATAAATGTGGCCCTCGTTGGAAGATCTTGATACACAACATCAACAAGAGAAGGGATAATTACATCATGTTTTCACAGTAAAAGCGAAGCCATAGAATTTCTAGCAGTTCCTCCTGTAATACCGAAGATTTCTAACCTTTTTATTATTTTTTTTCGCAATACCGTGGTGTTTCAAATATACCTAAGAGAATTGAGTAGTAAGCGAGAATCCGACCTCATACGAAGAGTTGAACCCGCATTTCACCCATACCGGAGCACTTACTATCACTACACTACCGAGACACCGTTTTGCAACCACTCAGTCTTCAATGTCTCTATCATAACTATCAGCCATCATCCCTTGACAAGTTTGATCGGATAAGCAATATCGCCTCATGAACTTAGTCAATCTGACAGCCAATTATACGTAATACGTAATACTGAAGAAATGTGGTGTTTTTACTGCTCTTTGCGCAGTGTCATGGTGTTTCGCCCACGCCCGTCTGAGGTCGAATTCTCGCTCACCACTCAGTTCTTTAAGGTATAGCCTCTCCCGTGATGACAATTATTCACCGATCATAGCGAGGTGATTGTGATAGTATACCAATGATCAGTGGTTGATGTGCATACGATAAGGATTATTACGAGAGAAATTAGCGATTAGTGTATCAAAACAGGAATCTAATTCAATCTTTCTTCCCAAAGCTATATGCAAATCACAATAGAACGCTGTTAGCTCGGCTATCACCAGCATTGCAAGGATAATTGCCTCGATCAGAATACTGCGACATCTATAAAAACGACAAAATCTTCAAGCAGCCCAGCTGCGCCATATGATGTGTTCGGAGATCTTTGGGGCAATGAACGTGCGAGGACGCGAATCACATCCAGGAGGTGCTGGGATACGCAATGAAACTTGATAACGGGTCATGTCAGATAAATTTTACCCAATCTCTCTGTGCTGTGATGTTCCTGATTAAACAGGTGCTAACGTTTGATAAGCATTTAGTCGAACTCTCGAAGTGCTAGAAAGTGAAAGATAGGCGAAATCTCACTATCAACGTACATTTTGTCGAAGGCCCTCAAACGTCTAAATTTTGTTCATATCGTATTGTCGCAGCGAATCTGACATCTTCTTTCGTTCGTTTCCCAATGTTCACGCGTTCGTCCGCTGCAGTAATTCAAAATACGGTGAATACAAATGGGCTTTGACTACGTCGAGAGCAACTCACTAGCTTTTCTTCTCGTTCTACAAGGCTTCTTCCTTGCCGCATTGGCTCCAGTGGAAGGAACTAAAGTACTGCTTCTTTCATTCGATTTCGATTCAAGCAATGGTTTCATGTACTTCTCAGTGACAACCCAGTTATTTGTTTCCAGCGCGGACTGATGTCTATAGCAAATATACTAAGCGAAATCAAAAAACAGGGAGGCAAAACTCAAGAAAAGTCATAACCGACCGCTTTTTAGTTGAGGAACCCTCCATTGTTTCCATGGAGGCACCTGTTCGTACATCTTGTTTAGTTGACTCATCGGAAACCAACTCAGCCACGTCGAGATATCCTTTCGGCTAGAGCAATCAGACTCAGTTTCAAAGTGAAAATGAGAATCTACAACTCACCATTTGAAGAAGAATGATCGAAGAAGAAGAGTACTATCCATCTCTATCTAGACGCATTTAAATAGTCCTGAAAATGCTATCATTATGATAAGAGATATCTCAAGTCGCAATAAAAATTAACTCGTTAAAAACCTGTTCGACGGAATTTGACACTAAATCAATCGATGAATTAGGAATTGCTTGTTTTTAGAATCTCCTTGGCTACGAATTTAGGAGAGATACCTCAAAGATATACTTTGAATCTCTTGTTTCTTTGATTTTTAAATTAGTTTGGTCCAAATTCATTTCATAATTTTTAATTTCCTTTTTCAAGAAAGTCGTTGAATGCTGCTGGTTGAGACGATTTTTCTCGAGTTTTCAAGACAGCAACGCAAGAGCTTTTATGGATAGGTCTTTGAGGGGATAAGTTGCGTACAAACAAGCCGGATACCAGCTTCCGACCCTAACTGAGTGGGGTAGAAGCCTGATGAGCCCAAGCCAAAATCGAAACACCACCGTGTATGTGATGAACGTCATAAGTGTCATTATAATTATAAAGTACTTGCCCATGATGAGGCGACAAACGGAAAACCGACCTTATTCCTTGGACAGGAAATTTTCACAGGAGCGTTAACAAGCATTAGATTTCTGGCTGCAACTTCACATTGTCTTTTTTCGAAAAATCCTTTTTCGACGTTGCTACAGAAGGAGATTTTTTGCATTGAAGGCGCTAATATTTCTAGCCAGACAGAAGTCTTTGTTCGGAGTACTGGTTATTATTCGATGTCAAATCGTTTCCGATTCCAACGCTGTGCTTATATCCTGAAAACACCTCTTCTCTGCAATGTAGCAGGTAAAATTTGTTGTATTCACATACGCGAGCAAAGTGGCCTTTGGCCAATGAACCAGCCGTATTTTGAGAAGCCTTGTGACTAATTTTTTTCTTAAAGCTCTTTGTCGAAACTCTGCGTCGTTGCCATTTGCGCTGGAAATTCGAAAATCTGCAGTCCGTTTCAAATATTCGTCAGTTTCGATTTCAAAGAGTTTTGATACTGAATGAACGAGTTACAAAAATTACTTTTGATGCGATAAAGTGAAACTTTTCTATACATCAATCAAATGGCAAACCCCTTAGTTACTTTAACCCTTGAGTACGGCAGTTGACATCGCTGCAAGCAGCACAATTCTCAAATCGGTGCGCGATTTTCGTTATTTCATTGAGGTTTTTTTTCATAGAAAATTTTCTTTGCTTCCCGTATATATTGCTAGCTCAAGACTTACTTCAGATGCTCATATGCTTTTGTAGCTTTCAAAACTCTTATGTGTGAAGAAACTAATGATAGTTAGATAACAACACATAGTTTATCGGTTCATTCTGATTATAAGGCGAGAAATGAAAAACCGGCCTCATTCGGAAGATCGGAAGAACAACGAGTCTATTTTTCATCAGTGTCATGCTTCTTGTACAATTCAAATACTACTGCCATGACGTTTTTGTGATCTTTTGCTGGTTCAAGGAATGTCGCATGATCGACGTGCATATTCAGTTTTTCAGCCAACTGCACTGCTAGTACAATACATAGCTTTGGCTCCATCAGTTTAAAGAGATTCACCTAGAAACATTATGAAACTATTAGGATCACGTTGACTACCGTAACATCTTATGGGTTTGACCAATAACTGCAATAATTTCATGCACAAAAAAAAAACTAAAATACTCAAGATCTCTTATTATTTTTTAACGTCTTTTTTCGAAATGTTACGCAATGTATTTTTAAAAAAAAAGCCTAAGAGATTTGAATGGTGTGCAAAAAGCTGACCTCATAAAGGAGTTAAACCCTCGTTTCACCCATACCGAGGGCGTGTGCTATCACTGCATCACCGAGGCACCGTTTCGCTATCACTCATTCTTCAGTGTCCCTATCATAGCTATCCTTCTTCAATCAACCAACGATATTACTTACCCGACGAAAGTTTTATAGTTTGTTGGCTGACAGCTATTATAGAGACATAAAAGAATTAGTGGTAGCAAAACAATGCCTTGATGGTGTAGTGGTAACACACGTCCCCGTCATGGGTGAAGCGGGTTCAACTCCCGTTCAAGATCGGATTTTCGCTATTTTTTCATCTTTCATTCAGTTCTCACTCGAATTACAGCCTTTTTTACTGCGCAGGTCCCAGTACAATCAGCACTAAATTTATCTCCATGCTCGTTTGTGGATTTCAACTTCTTCACATACGTCGTAGAGTACTGATCGAGTGCGCCTACCTGCAATCTTGAAGGCAGCCAGATTGGCACATTCCGTTGGCATTCGTTTTGATAGCCGGATAGTGATGGGAGGCTGTGAGATCGATTCCGTGTCAAACCTGCGCCGAGCATAACTAACCACTCGGCCACACATCCTGAAATTATATAGAACTTACACACAGCACAAAGCGTTTATCGCTGATCAATCTCTCGAGGGTATGGAATCGATTTCATTCGTTCCACTTCAGGAGTGGTTGAAGATATATTTGATAAATACAATTACTTTGAACAGCCTATTTTTCTGTGAAAGTTAATGTTATCATTCTCTCAGACCAACAGCACCTACTTCAAATTTGACAATTCAAAAAAAGTAAGTGTGGACAGAAGCGCTCAGATAACCACTACGTTACAATTTTTTTCGGCAGCGACGTGATTCCAGAGAACAATTCTCAGTTAACATCAACATTGGTTAACAAGCTATTACATAGTGAAAAATTGTTCTCGTGATTTAGTGCAAAGGTACCAACGGAACATATAATTCATATATTTAACTCTTCGAGGAGAGTTGTCAGGCAAAGAATCAGTGTTACACTTGAAAAGTAGAATAAACAACTAAGCTCACCATCTCAGGTTTGAAATGATGGATCAAAGCACAGAAAGCACGCCCATCACTCCAATCCGAAGCAAAATTTGTGACGCTTATAGTAGGATATTCAGCAAGACCTAAAAGAATAGTTTTTGAAACTTTTCATGATTTTGTTCACAATGCAAAATAAGCTAGAAAGCACTAACAAATAAAAATTCATACAAAATTCCCAGATAATTATGTTTGTCAAGTTTCGGATGTGGTCGCACTATCATTCCTTTAATTTCGAATCAAAGAATTCTTGAAATGCTTCTACAGCTTCATCAAAAGTTTCAAAACTGCGACTCTTCATAAAGTGTTACATTGATCGGAAAAGGCCAAGGTTATATGGAACGCAATATAGACTGTAGGCGGAATGCGGCGGAACCTCGACTTTACAATTCATCAAATTAGTCTTCAGTCTTCTAGGCAGTGTGCGTTCTGGCATTGTCCTACTGCAGCAAAACGCGCTTTCCGTTGACCACAGCGGGCTAATTTTTCTTAAGCAAAGTGAAAATAGAGACAAATAATATTGGGCCTTCAGTGAGAAAATATCACACAAAAAGCCGTAATATTCTCATGATATGCACGGAACTTATCTCATGCTTATTAAAGTGCTCCAAAACTCTCTTTCTAACCGTAGTACTTAGTAATCAATAAAAGATCATGATTGAATTACCATCTATACGACAAAGTGTACAAGTCAAATACACTGGATTTCCCGTAATTTTTACTCCGGGCACAGATTCATGACCTCATTTTTGTAATCATTTGACAGCCTAGTAAATGTGAAATTTGATATTGTACTTGGTTTTTAGTAGGGCCTTCTCGTTGGGCTGTAGGAACGATGAGGTCGCTCTTATGCTGAGTTCGATTTACTGGTATTTGCTTGGAATTTTAACGAACAAAACTTCTTCACTGGATCTTCTGTAGTCATTCATTAGCTTGAGTAACTTAGATCTGAATACACAGTTTTTGAAATCGCTTTCTCAATAGAAACGAATAGAATATTTCTTTTCGCCCCGGAGACTTGGAGTTTCTAATAACAATGAATATGCTGGTAATCACTGTAGCAAAGTTCTGAGACCATGAAAGTTTTATCTTTGCGAAGAGATGACTCATCACCAAGGAGACTAACATAAAGACATTTCGAGTACATAGAATGCTCATGCGCTTTGAAATGATGACTTTTGGCCGATGGATCTCTACTTCTAGGCAAAACAATACATTTTATCGTCGATGTTACAAAACTGCAACTCAGAAACATGTATTCTGCAGTGCCGAGCCTTAACAAAAAACTTTTATGAAGATTTTTTTAGTATAATGCTGGGTTGTAGAACGAAGAAATATATGTAAGGGAATGGAATAGAAGTAAAAAAGCGTATCCACATTTGTGTAGAGTAATTCTTTGAAAATAGCTAATATTGTTGAGCTAAATTTCTACAACATCCCAATGATGATGTAAATTACTTGCCTAAAATATCTATTTAACAGAAAACAGCCGAAACAATTCCCATCGGTCAACAAATTACTCTTGCTGCATAAAAGTTGTACTTTTACATAATTAACAGTTGGCACGTTTTCAACCAATCAGCAGTTAATACATTGAGTTAAGAAAAAAGTTTCCTAACACCCGCTGAGATTTTGAAACTTATACATAGATTCCACGGACCTCCCTCCTTGAGGGATCCCGCCCGGTTAGTCGCGAGGGCACGTGGCGCGTCCCTAGGTGGTGGATAGGGGAATAAAACGCGAACCAAAAGCGACCGTGTGCTTCCCAGAGACGCAGGTGGATTCAGGGGACGAGCTCCCTGCTTCTGCAGTGCCGACTTGACAAAAACTCTATTTCTACGAGTCAAGTCGGCCAAAGCCTGCAATCAAGCGGCTGGGAAGTACATGGGAGGCGGTTAGGAGTCGCCTCCAACAAATAAGCGCCTCCCGCTCTTCCGAGAGAGACTGGCAAGCTACTCGTGAGTACCCAGCCCCCACGTTTAGAGCATGGCAAGCTACACGTTGGTATCAAAATGCCAAAAACAGTAACAAATATGGGCCTCATTCCCCTGACCCCGAAAGAGCCCCTGGTACGGCAGCGCCAGGTAGGACGAGTACGGAGAGGCTGCTAAAATCTCAGAGCCGAACTAGGCTGCCAAGATCGAAACGGACTAAAATGACGATCTGTACCTACAATGCAAGAACCCTTGCTCACGAATCCGCTGTAGAAGATCTATTGATTCAAGCAAGAAGAATAAGGTACGACGTCATTGGCCTGGCTGAGACGAGAAGGCGCCATCCTTTTCACGCTGTCTATGACACCGGAGAAGAACTGTTCCTTGGAACATGCGATCGCAGAGGTGTCGGTGGCGTTGGCGTCCTCGTCAAATCGAATTTGACCGTGAAGCATTGATTCGTTCGAACAACTAACAACCCGTATCGGACGATTACGGTTGAAACGATGTGGTTCTATGCCGGCTTGACCATCTTCGTTGCTTACGCACCAACATCAAGCTATGACGAAGACGAAGTCGAAGCGTTCTATATGGACCTCGAAAAATTCTTCAGAGAAGATCATACATTCTTCAAGGTCATTGTCGGAGATTTTAACGCAAAAACTGGACCTAGAAGAACGTCTGAAGAACGTCACATAGGGACCCACGGACTAGAATGGAATGAACAGGGTGAGAGGCTATCCGAGTTTATCATGACGACCCATACCACCATGGTAACTCGCAATTCCAAAAGCCTCTTTCTCAGCGATGGACGTTGGAGTCTCCCAATGGAGAGTACCATAACGAAATAGATCACATCATAGTAAATCGAAGATTTTGCCTGACCGACGTCGCTGTTGTTCCCAAGTTCTACACGGAATCAGACCATCGCCTCCTTCGCGCAACGTTCCGATTTTTCGAGGAGAGGAGAGAAAGCCGCTAAATTCAAACAACGAAGTCCCAGAACTACCATAAACTGGGATGTATTCAAATCATTAGTCGGCTCTTGGGAAGATACCGTTGTCGACAACATCGACGAAGAATACGATCGACTCGTTGAATATCTTCACGTTAGCGCTATAAAAGACGAGAGTCCTAAGGTCACGAAGAGACGCTTGTCTCCACAGACACTCGAACTGATACGTCAACGTGGAATCGCACGAGCTGTAGGCAACCGAAACCTTACGTCCGAATTTGCGAAACGATGCAGAGAAGCGATAAAAGAAGACCTTAAAGAGAGAAGAGCAGCAGTTATGGCAGAAGCTGCAGAAGCTGGGAAGAGCATTCGCAAAGCCCAGCGAGGCTTCGCCAATATAAGACCAAGATGATTGCACTCCGATACCCTGACGGGACACTTACAGCTTCGAGAAGGGCTATGGAGGAAAATCATCCACCAGTACTACTCGGATCTCTTCGCTAGCCATGTCCTCTTACCGTCATACAAATTGAAAGAGGACGAATATGTCGCCCACCGGTCCTCCCTTCCGAAATCCGACATGCTATATCGTCGGTGAAAAACAGAACAACACCCGGTCCAGACAGGATTAGACCAGAACACCTGAAGAACCTGCCGCCAGTTCTCATGAACACTCTGGCTCGGCTCTTCACTCGCTACCTGTCAGAATGCAAGGTCCCTATTCAATGGAAAACCAGCAAGACCGTATTGTTGTTCAAAAAGGGAGACCTCCACGACAAGGCAATTATCGCCCAATCTGCTTACTGTCCGTTGTCTATAAACTCTTTACTCGAGTCATCCTAAACAGGATTGACAGAACACTGGACGAAGGACAGCCATGCGAACAAGCAGGGTTCCGAAAAGGATTTAGTACTATAGACCACATCCACACGATCACAAGACTCATTGAAGTTTCGCGAGAGTACAAACAACCACTCTATCCCACTTTTATCGATCTGAAGAAAGCCTTTGATTCAGTGGAAACAGAATCGGTTATAGAGGCTCTGGATAACCAGGGCGTCCCTACTCGGTACATAATGATCCTTCGTGAGCTTTATAAAGATTTCACGACCAGAATATCTCCATTCTACAACAATATCACCATTGACGTAAGAAGAGGGGTTCGACAAGGCGATACAATATCGCCAAAACTACTCACTGCCACCCTACAAAACGTCATGCGAACATTAGAATGGAACGAAATGGGAGTGAAAATTGACGGTCGACAATTAAACCATCTTCGCTTTGCTGACGATATCGTTCTCATAACACCAAACATCAGCCAAGCGGAACG